CAAAATAATTAAAAAAACGGTAAATAACTACATTGGTTCTATTGATACATACATACATACGTACGTATTAGCGTTTTATATAATATAGATATGCCACATGACACTTATGGATGGTTGACCGTGTAAAACTAAACGCAGTTGGCGCTCAGAGTTAAAATTTGTCGCAAGACTTTCGGCTTACTACTTTCGACTGATTTTTCACGCCTAAGAATGAAAAAATGTACTTTCTAATATTAGGATACTTGAAGTGTTTTCAATATAATGCATTCTTTCAATTTAACTTTTAATGAAACAAAAGGGTGCTATTTTACACAAATATAGCCAAATAAGGAATAACACTTGAAACATGGCAAACCTCACACTTTATTCATGTTGCAATATTAATTTTAGGCTTAAGACCCGTTAGAATTTATAAATTAGAGAAAACTCTTATGAATGATAAAATTATGCGTTAATTAAAGCACAAGCATTGCATAAACAGAAGAATACACTAAATTTCTTCCGGTTTTAGGAAGCTCACTACATTCAGTCAACCTAGTTTTTTTTAGGCCAGCTGAATATGCTTACATAAGAAACATAACAAACCTTGTAATTGGTGACAAGAACTTGCAACCTTTTAATAAAAATTCATAACTTTAAGCCAGATCAGTTGGAAGACATAATTGAAGTACTTTTTTTTTTTCATGACCGAGTTAGCAAGGAGGATATTTCGTGGAGCACATGAGGCACACATATCTCATTCTAATGGTCCATACAACAATGCATTAGGTTTCTTAGCTAAAGGTCCTAACCCAGTCAAAAAAGACTAGTTTTCTTTATAAAATTTCATCACATAATTTTCATATTTCATTCAGATATTTACAGTATTGTTTTTATAATAGCTAAATTTCTTGTTTTCATAAATTGAGTGAATAATAAGTCAAAAAGACTAGCTTTCTTCATAAAATGTCATGACATAATTTTTATATTTGATTCTGAAATTTGCAGTTTTGTTTTTATAATAGTCAGATTTTTTGTTCTCAGCTTTCATTAATATTAGTGAGAAGCAATGAACCCCCAGAGCAAATGATTTTGAAACATCCAGAAAGAATGTAATACATAGATAGTAAATTATCACAATGTAAAAAAAAAATCAGACCAGTTACAATATAATTCTAGTAGCATAAATCATTTTTTTAAAAAAAGAGTAAATGTGAAGGCTAATAATAAATGGTTTTGGAAATTCTAAACAAAGGATAGCTTTCATAATATAGAATGAAGTAGGAAAATATCAGAAACAGAATAAAAACTAATATAAAATCTCATTAGCAAAACATTACTGCTACTTATCATAATCTAAAACAAAGCACATCCATGAGGTAAATACTCTTTGGACATTAAAAAAGATTAGCAATATGTTATAATTTGAATTTAACTACAGGAAAATCTACACGCCTAGAACGTTGCAACATATAAACCATGTTTACAAAGGCATGTGTTACATTCTTTAACTGATTTCAGCTGTCTGTGACCAGGACGATTTCCTAGCATCTTCTGTGATTTTATAACCTTTATTGAAAAGCCAACCCAACTTTTTGGGGTTACAACAACGAATGATTAACTCCGTAGCCTTGCAATTTTAAACCCAATCCAGAAGACAAGGAAATTATTGGATTAAGTAATGGGAGAAATTTGCCTATGTGGAGGTCTCTTTGATGGAAATAACCTGCATTTGAGTTACATGGAAAGGAAAACCACAAAAACCTTCCACGGCAACGAGACATTAACTAATGATCCATCTACGACTAAAGGATATTTTTTGTCAGCACTGTGGTCAATGCAAGCTGAGTGCAGAATTAGAATTGACCAACCAACTCTGGGATTTGGACCCTGTTCACCTCATTAAACGAAGAAGGCTCTGTCCCCTGAGCACATGCAAAGTGCTAGTCAACAAGACTTTTTTCGAGATGAGAAAAAAAATTAGAAGTCACATAGACCTAGTTCCATATTATGATGGAAAATTTGCTCTTAGCCAAATGAATTTTGAAAGATTCATTTCCAATATTTAAAAACTTATTTCACAGTTGGTGAGACATGCATAACCCAAAGACATGCATAAGCCATACTTAATTTCTGGATCAGCTTAGTACATACATTTTCAGCAATTTTATTTCTGTTTAATAAAAATTATCTGATTTCTGCCTATATAAAGTTTTCAAGCATTTGCCTACTAATGTTAAAGATGTTTTAGAACTAATATCTGCAGTATGTTTTCTTCATATGTGTCATTAGATTAGATCTTTGCGAGAAGCTCTTGCCACAGAACTTGCATGTATACGGTTTCTCTCCAGTGTGTTTTCTGACATGGATCTTCAAGACATCTTTACGAAGGGAAGTATAATTACAGTAAGGGCACTTGTGATATTTTATTCCAAGATTAAATCCATCAGTAATAAGAGTCAGTTCTGAAAGAAAATAAAAATTACAAGTCGGTGGAACATTCAAGAACAAACAAAAGTACTGAGATAAAATTCTGCGATTGTATCAAAATAAGAAATACTTTAATAAGGGAAGAATTTAGTATAACATGATACATACATAGGAAAATTTTCAGGAATAAAATAATAAAGGCAAATACAGTACTCACCACCTATTAAAATCATGTCAATTCTAAGAACATTTGATTTTATAAACTGGAATGTCTGAATTCTAATTATTCGGAAAAGAAAAAGTAGTGAGGATGATGGTTTTAGCATGCCATGATATTGTTATGATTCCGTTCTTGCAGATTTGACTTTTACAATTTTTTCTTCTTATTTTTGCTGGTTTTAGAATACAGTGATTTCATTAGTGGCAGTCACTGCATTGGTATCACAAAAATCACTTACTCTTCAGATATAACTTTATTTGAAAGAAGAAAAGAGTGCACATTTTTGATGATGTAGCCGTACACTTATTTGGGTTACAATTTTGACACATTATGCAAGAAAGTTTTTTTCTAAAATATTTTAGTAGCTCAACTTTAAATTTAGCAAGATAAATAGGAGTAACCGAGAAAAGTTTTGCAAATATTGTTAGGATGCATTTTACCATGATACACATGTGATGCACAATTTCTATGTTTCATGTCTCGTGAAAATTAGATTTTTGGAAGATGCTTTTGCCACAAATGTTACATGCATATAGTTTCTTCCAGTGTATATTATGACGTAAATCTCCAAGACAAAACAAAGTGTAGAATAATTACAATAAGGACACTTATAATATTTCCTTCTTTAATCTAATCCACTCTACGGAGATCAGTTCTGGACTGAAATAAAAATCACAAGCGGCTGGGACAGTCACGGACAATCAACATTAATGATGATTGTCCTTGTAATTTGGGACTTATTTCCATTCAAAAAATCTAATAAAAAGTAAGAATTCAATATTATATAATATGCTTTGGAGGTATTTCATACTGATAAAGCATTTACTATTTAGAAAACCTTTTACTTTAAGAAAAAAAAGTAAAATTTTTGATAAGATAATCCAAATACTTTAATGAGTATAAATTCTGCACTATTATTTAAAAAAAGCCCCCTAAATATATAAAACATTGCATGTTTAGGATATCTACTTTACATTCAGTAAAATAAAGATAAGTCACCAAGAAATGTCAACAGATTTTGTAGAACAGTATATACTTTAGAATTTATTTTTGCATAATTTCTTCATCTCATGCTTCTTTAAATTCGACTTTTGCGTGAAACTCTTTCCGCACATGCTGCAAGTATAAGGTTTTTCTCCAGTGTGTATTCTCACATGGATCTTCAAGACATCTTTACGAAGGGAAGAATAATTACAATAAGGACACTTGTAATACTTCATTCCCTGATACATGTAAGTCAGTTCTAAAAGAAAAAAGTACTTTAATGTTAAATATCTATTGCACTTTCAGTTTGGAAAACACTTTACTTGAAACTGTAAAAAAAAAAATTGTTTTTTTTGATAATACATCAATATGAATACTTACATGGCTTAGAATTTTTTAAGAAGTATTTTTTCTAGGGGCTCAACTTTAAATTTAACAAAATAAATATTACTATGAGAACATGAATTGTTAGAGGTATATGAAAAAAATATGAGTGAGGAAAGTTGGTAAATCTTGTTCACATATATAATATAAATTTATTTTTGTATAGTTTCTTCTACTCATATTACATGTTTTTATCAAAATCTTTTGTCACAATTCTAGTAATTATACGGTTTTCTCAAGCGAGTATTTGGATATGAATTTTCAGGTCATTTTTACAATGAAAAGCATAAGTACAATAAGGATTTTTAAGATATTTTAATCAGCTAGAAAAATTAATTTTTAGAAATGAATAAATAAGAATTACAAATTGAATAAAAAAATATAGAAAAAATTAACAGATTACATTAAGTTTAAAAAAGAGCACAACTTGGATTTAGAAAAACCTTATAAAAATAAAACATGATGAATTAAATTCATAAAAAATAAGCGAGATAATAAGGTTATTGAAAACAAAAGGCAAGCTACAATTTTCTTTGTTAACTTTAATAATTTATTTAAAAGACAAGTCACATTTTTAAACAAAATAATAAGGCTATTTTTTCCCAAATAAATTAAGCTTACTTGTGAAATGTATAACAATTAAAGCATTAGCAAAACTATAAAATATAGAGCCTATGTATAAGAGTTAAAAAAAAACTAAATCCAATCCTGAAGATTTTCATTGTCTTATCATAAGTTTTTTTAGATAACAAATACGTTGAACCAATTTTCATGAATAAATATTCTTTATTCTTACAACAAAAAAACATCTAAGCATTTTCTATTTTGTGAATATTTTATTAATTAGAAATGAAAAAAAGACTAAATCTTCTTGTTACCAACATCAAGTTTTGAAAATTAAAAAACTTTCTTCAAAATACATTTTTTGATAAATTGAGTAATTTTATAAGTGGGTAAATATAACAAATTTTGAAAAGGGTTTTTTATATTGTTTACAGCCCTGTGTTCACTCGTTGAATAACGTTGATGACTTTCTTCATGTGAGTTATTTTATGCGACACCAGAGTAGATTTTTGTGCAAAGCTCTTGCCACAAATCTTGCATGCATATGGCTTCTCTCCAGTGTGTGTTCTGATATGCAACGTCAAGTGGTCACTACGATAGGTAGTATAAGTACAATAAGGACACTTATGGACTCTCTTTCCAAAATTAACTCCACTAGTCACAAGAGTCAATTCTGAAAAAGAAAATATAATACATTTGGCTTAGCACTATGGCATAAGCTAGTAAATGTAACAAAATTACGCAATAGAAAATACAATAATAAAAATGACTGGAAATTCCTCCCTTTAACCATCATAGATTCTCACCATTATACTCGCTGTAAAAACATATGTATTAAACAAAAAAGTTCAATACAAACTTGTTTAGATGCCAAATGCTCTAGTCAAAAACTTAGAAAATCACATTTTGAGATGCATCATTTTTTGTACAGCAGTAACGATCTTAGATAGGACAACACAGTAAAGAGGAAAAGCACTTGCTCAAACTGGAACATTTGCACGACCGTTAGAGGGTTAAAACCAGCATGTAAAAATTCGATAAAATTATTAGAAATAGAGCACTTAAGTAAGGTTATTCATACAATGTTAGGCACAGGCAAATATGAAAAAGATAACTACCCCCCCCCAGAGCCATTTTTAAATTAATAATATATCAAATAATCTTTAAATTGCTAGCAAAGTAAAACAACAAACAAAGTAAAATAGTTCAAACAAAGTAAAATAGCAAAGTATTGTTACCATTAGCATCGAGAGTATGTAAACAATTAATGTGCAGCTGGAGGGCTGCTGATCTAGCTTACCTTCATTGGTTAGACATCATAAATTAAATATTTTAAAATTTGACTTGAAATTTTACAAGTCACTAATTACTGGTACAATATTTATAGCTTGACTTGTTTCTTTTAACTAAAAATGTAGCAATTTTTAATAAATAACAATAAAACCTAGAAAAAAAAATTCTAAAATTTAAAATGATTATATTTACATTATAAATTACAGATGCAGTTTATTTTTCACTGTCCTCTAATTTTAAAATTTTTCAGTAGATGGCAATTAAATTTTATTTTAAGTTTTATGAATTATTATTGTTTATATAAATTTTTTTAACACAACAGTAAAGAAGATAGGAAAATAGCGGTGATATATATATGTATATATTAAACAAATGGCACTTCTGTCTATTTATAAAAAACATAGTGAAGTTACTCACAGTACAAAGAACGACTTTTGTAGAATTGTTCTTTAATAAAAAAAAAGGTTTACTTTTTTGTTAATATACGTAGAAATGAATAGACATAAAACCTTTCTTTAAATTCAGAATAATAAAAATATAAATTTTGGCAAGAAATATTCTCACAACGTTTGCAATCATAAGTTTTTCTTCAGAATGCAAACAGAGAGAGAGAGTATCGGTACATAAATAAGAGGGTTGGGTGGAAAACGAATATTTATTCTTTAAGTCTTTAAATCTTCATAACTTCCTTTATTAACTCAGACTGATTTACATTTTTATAAAATTGATTTATGCATTTTCGCTAATACAAACCAAAAATTTGCCATAGTATAAAAACAGCGTTATTTATTTTGTCATAAAACTAAGCAATTTTTAATAAATAACAATAAATATATTATTAGTAGAAAACTATGAGAAATATATATTTCAGATTTGCATAATTATCAAAAATAAATGCAAAAATATCATCAAAATATTTCTATGAAGGAAAAACCAAACATATTGACATATAAAACAGCAAAATGGTACTGTTACTTCAATTTTTTTTTATTCTTTCAAAATATATAGTCATTAAAATGAACATTTAAAATAGAAATTATATCCATATGCAAACTTTATTTTTGCTTGGTTCAATTTTCTCCAAGTACAAGGGAATATAGAACTAAATAGCTTAAATTGAACTAAACATAAACAGCATTTTGTATGAAAGTTAAGGTATAATAATAAAATAAAGAAATAGACACAAGGGGGAGAGGGAGGGAGGGAGAGAAGAAGAACGAGCACAAGAAATTCTTGGGGTTGAAATATTCTTTTTCAACAGAAAAATTTAAGTGTGTAAGGAGTTACAAACTTCGGTAACAAATTTTGGAAAAATAACATTTAAAAAGAAATTATCTTAAAATTCCTTTTTAATTAATAGGTAATGAATAGAAAAAAATTTAAGTTTCAAATGTCAAAATTAAAAGTCACTGGTTATTATAGTTTCGGAAAAAAATCTTTTACTCTCAGATTTATGTAGGTTTATAAACTATGGAAACACTAAAAAATAAAAACTCTGTTTAGATAATTTTCTGAGATGTACAAGTTAACTAAATGGAAAGAAAAATCGAAACTCAAATTACCCTTCTAAGTGTTAGACTTCTCTAATATTAAGCTGATGACATTTCTGCATCAATAAAATGAATTATCTGTAGGTTTAGTCAATCAGAAATTAGCAGGCAGTAGGGAAATTTCAGTACATTTCTTCCCAAGTGTAAAATGCTTGAACACTTAATAAAATGACTTGTTTCACAATTAACTTTCTTTAAAAAAAAGTTTTACATTAATTTCGATTTTTATTTATTTAATTTGGAATTTTTTTTAAGAGAACTTAGAGAATTTTTAAAGTTTTTAATTAAAATTGTACATATATAAATTTGAAAATTGATTGTATTTGATCCAGTAGTTTCTTGCGCAGCTGTTTTTCGGAGGGTGGATGCAGTGCTTTAGGTTATTTTCAGAATTACATGAGAACCAATGTAAATCAAATGGTTGAAACTAAACTGAAATTATCAAAATTAGTCCAATTAAAAGCATGAAAATAAAGCCTTTTCAGTGTCACTAAATAAATAATAATAAATAAAAAAATTATGAAAACTACAGAATTATTTATGCATGGAATTCATACTTGAAAAATTTACACATGATTAAAATTACATTGATGATGCAGATAGACATTTCAAATTGATTTTCGTATCATTTTCTCATGTGAGTCAGTTTATGAGACCTTAAAGTAGATTTTTGTGCAAAGCTCTTGCCACAAATCTTGCATGTATATGGTCTTTCTCCAGTATGTGTTCTGATATGGATCTTCAAAACATCACTGCGACGTGAAGAATAAATACAATAAGGGCATTTATGAACTTTCATTTCATAACCACAAGCCATAAAAATCAGACCTAAGAGAAAATGGAAAGTAATGGATAAATTGAATATAAAAATTTTAATAATTTATTTCATAATAAAATAAAATATTCTAACAAAACATACCTGGCCTTATTTAATGGAAAAAGAGAAGAAAATTTCCAATAAGTTTATCTTTACAGATAAAACTGTTTTTAACTGCATATTTTAACAATAAAAACCATACAAAAGTTGTAATTTTTTGAACACTTTATTCAATATAATTTAAGAGAATAAGTTTTACATTTCTGATGATAAACATGAGTCTATTCAATTTTTTTAGAACTGCTAAAAAAATTGTTTTAAAATGTTAGTGTTTTCACACTGCTATTACTAAAAAATGTGTAAACAAAAACGATGTTATGCAAATACAGTACACAGATTTAATTAGAAATGATAGAACTTTCATGCCACTTAATATTATATTTTAAATGTATGATAACTCTTTCTGGGAAATATAACCCTTTTTTCCAAAACTTCATAGAACAAAATTAGATTTTTTTTGACAGAGAAAAAATAAAAAGCTACTTAACTGAACAAAAATATGGAATATATATTTTAAGGTGAAACAATAATGCCATATTTAAAACTCAAATTTTAAGAATGGATATATAAATATTATTACAAACAAGATAAATATAAATGGAAACCCAGTCTATAAATCTAAAGAAGATACAAACTTAAGATTTAGAAACTATTATGACCAAATTATTTTCCTGTCCAAATTATCTATTATGTTCCGAATTATTTTCTTAATTTATTTATGACCAAATTTATATCTATCTTAAATAAAATATGCAAGTAATTTTAAAGCACTAAATAATGATAAAAAAGTAGACCGAAAAACACCAATGATCAAAAAGTAGATACAAGTACCAAAATTTTTGATATACAGAACAAAAAAAACTTTGCTATAAACCAAAAAAAATAAAAAGAAAAAAAAGTAAAACTTTTACGATTGATGAAAGTAACAAAGTTTGTATTGCTTACATTATTTAGAAGGTACAGAATATTTAAAGCTTTCCTAAAAAATAAAATAGTGAGAAAAAATAGTTACTTTATGATTGATAAAGGGTTACAGAAAAAAATTTATTTGCATACATAATGCTTTAATATTAACAAGTCAGTGTTTTAAGAATATTTTGTCCAGTGTATTATTTCATGAGATCTCAGATTGTTTTTCTGTGAAAAGCATTTGGAGCAAAATTTGCAAGCATATGGTTTTTCCCCAGTGTGTGTTCTAAGATGTAACTTCAAGTGGTCGCTACGTCGTGTGGAATAACCACAATGAGAACACTTATGAAGTTTCCGTTCCCCACTAAATCCATCAGCCACATATATCAGAGCTGAAAGAAAATTTAAATTCTTAACACATTCAAGATAACAAATAGTAGCACTGGTATTAAAAATATAATTTTTAATATTTCAGGAAACAAACACACAAAAAAATACAGGACTTAATACTTAGATTTAATAACAATTAAAAAAAGAACATGTTACATAAAATAAAGCATACTTATATGGTTAAACTATAAAACGTTAATAAGAAAAGAAAATCTGTATATACTTCAAATTTTGTAAACAATTTATTTACAACTTATAAAGTTTATACATTTTGGATGACAAAATACTTTTGATTTTTAACAAAAATAACTGCCTTTAAATCATAAACATAATAATAAGGATTTGGATTGGATAAGGACAATAAGGATTTGATTATATGGTTTGTTATGCAATTACAAACTTATAAATAGCAATAGCTTTTACATTGCTCTTTTGAAAACACACAAAAATATTGATTTCTCAATCTTACAATTAAGTATTAAGAGAGTCAATAATTCTACATTTATTTTTTTGAATTTACTAGTACTTTATTTGTGTCACAATAGAGCTGCACAATTGGCTACTGGTGATAGTTTGCGATATCCTTGTGGATGATGCAAAGATATGCCATCATAATTTTGATCCTTTGCAGAAAACACATTTATAAGTTTTTCATTTAAACATATTGATGGAATGCACAAAAAAACAATTAATTACATCCTTTAAAACTTAATAAATTTATTTAAAATATATATTTACTATAAAAATACATTTATTTACAAATCAGTTATCCATATTTTGGCATTTGTGGGCAAAACTGTGCAGAATTTACCTTGCTATACACTACTTTCTTACAAAACAACATAAGAGATACTCTTTTCCGTGGGAAAAAGTTGCCAGCTTAAAATTTGGAAAAGGACTTTCTAGGTACATTAGTTTCCAAATTATTATATAAGAAATGATACCAACAGTCAAATTCCATATTTCTTTTCTGAAAGATGAAAAAAAAACTAATACTATCAGTTAATGAATATATAATACAAATTATTTAGGGATGCATATCAGAAACTCTATAATGATGAAATCTACTGATGATCATACACATATAGAAACATATACATGCGGAATGGTTAGCCTATAACACATGAAAAAGGTGAGAAAATCAAAAATTTAAATTCAAAACATTTTAAGATTATTTTTTTAAGTGAGTAATTTCATGAGCTCTTTGTGCATTCTTCTGCGTGAAGCACTTGTTACAAAATCGACATGCATACGGTTTTTCACCAGTATGAACCCTGAGATGAGTCTTTAAATGGCCACTATTAGATGTGGAATAACTGCAGTATGGACAGCAATGGACCTTTAATCCACGTCTGTTTCCAGGAAACCTCAGGACTGTTTCTGAAAAAATATTGAAGGACTTTCAGAAAAGCATGCAAATCATAACAAAACGATGACATAAAAGTATAATTTAACCAGAACAATGTTGCCTGTGGCACACACATGCAACTTCATAATACTAATTCAAAAACTGAGTGAGTTGAGTCCCAATAAGGGAGAATCTTTCATAACATTTTTAAAGATGATTTCTTAACAATTGACCATATTAATTAAGACAATTATCAGAAGCTTGATCACTGACATTGATGGTTGGAGGGACGGTGGTAGTGAGTTCGATTACAACAGTCACTATTCATATCATCTGATCAAGATCAAAATGAAGAGGCATTTTCCCCACAGTCAGTAAAAGATAGAACCCTTAAAATGGGACTAGGAGCTCGGCCATGGTTGGGTGATGTATGTGATCAAAAACTTTGTACATAAGCTCTAATTGAACATTGTGCAACACTTCTACGGCACTACATATACACATGATAAAAATTCAAATTTTAAAAATGAAATCTAATGATAATAAAAAGATCACTGAGGTATTTTGGGTTTGTGGCACCCGTGTTTACCTAAACAAGGCAAAACCACAGAGGAAAAAGGTTGAAAAAGAAAAGATCACTATTGTGTCCAAAGGTTGCAAATTTAGTTATTTACCTAAAAAGTTCAACTTTTTGAAAAGCAATCTTGAGATGTAGAAAATTTAACAAATATATATTAAAATATATATCTTTGTTAAATTTTCTACGTCATAGCAATAAAGAATCTTATGTCTTCTTAGACTAACAGTTTCTTAGACATACTTCTTGAAATCAAATTAATACTAAAATAAAAATATTAGACATATAAAGCTTTAAGAAAACTCTACATTATATAATTGAGAAGTTAGGGACACGTTTGCAATAAGTCACACTACTATCAAAGGTTTTATATCTAATTATTTTTTGTTTTTATTCCCAGTAAGGTTCTTTGAAAGTTTCTAGACACTTTTGACAACACAATCGGTAAAGAAAAATCTTGTTTTTCACATGGAAATCATTGTGTTTTTGCTCTAAAATGCTCTTCTCAACAATTTAAAAAGGTAGCTTATCATTATTTTAACCCAAACCCATGGAATGTATTGATCTATGAATGCACATATTCTATAGTCATTAAAAATCATTTTTTAAAATATGACAATTACAAACGAAAATTCCATTAACATTAATTTCATTAAAAGTTAATTTATTTCAAAAAGAAGAAGCTTACAATATTGAAATTCAAGACACTTATTGAAAAGATGAATTCTTTTTGGTATAAAAGAGAGAAATCCTTCACATATGCATAAATATTTATAAGAATGCAGATACATCTGCACCATACATTTTAACATGTTTATAGTTCTTATTAACAGATATTACAGTTTCTGTTAACTGATTTAAACAACAGTCTTGGGTAACAAATTTACAATTTTTGTTAACATCTGCTACATATTACAGTTCTTGCTAACAGATGTAGAAACATAGTTTCAAATGTTTAACATTTAACCAGGAATAAGATTAACAAAAGAATTTTATCCGTTTATCATGACCAATTTTAATTCCCATCAATTGTTTTAAACTTTAAATAAGAGCACAAAGAGATCAACCATATTAAAACTGTAGAAAATTAATGCACAGATTCATCACATGTATCTTTCAGAGATTTCCCAAATAATGAATAACGAAGAAAAAAAGATAGTTTGTATGGAATCCATTTAAATATAATTATACTTAATCGTTTAAAGAAAAGGATAAAAAGACGGAAAAATTAAATTACATATTTCCCATAGCTATCAAATTAAAACTATTTTGAATTTTAGTAATTATAAGTAATTCATAAATGTAAGCCTAGTATTTTGCTGGTAAAAAATTTATCAAAAATAAGGGAAAATCTTTTTTTTTTTAGAACTGATTTTCAATAAAATTTACCAAAATGGTGCTTGTCAAAGCATTTTCACCAAGGAAAATAAAAAGCTATTTTACCAGCGCCTTAATTTTAACAACATAAACTGTCATTTTGAAAACAATTACCTTAACTTATGAACAAATACCTAGAGTGGTTTAAAAAAAAATTTTTTTTTTTTTTAAATTACCAATTTGTCGAGATTTCTCCAGTTAGATGAAAATAATCTAATATCAATGAATAGTTTGCAGACAATTCAGAATTTGAGTTATTTTTAAACTATTAAAAAAATTGGACCAGAAACACATTTTATTTTTGCAAAACTGGAAACTTTTCATTATTTTGAGATTTTCCACAATTTTCAAAATGAACTTAGAAAGTGCTGTCTAAAGATGAGCTAAATGTAATCAAATTGCAAATGAATAACTGCTGAAGTATATAATAGAAATCATTCACCTTATGTCACAGGACAACAGAGTCGTTGAAGTATACCTGCCAACATTTGAGATATTTGGACAATAGTTTATTTAGTGGTAGGGAACAAAAGCAAAACTTTATAATATGAAATAAGTTTGGTAAAATATTTATGAGAAACTAGAAGCATGGTTTAGTTCTAATTTATAAACAATATTAATACATTACCCTTGCTATCACTAGGAAAAATACTCTAATATTATCAACGGAAAATCCATAGTAGTTGAAGGGCATGCTATATTAGAATTAAGGCTAGGAAAATTTTTGCATAGTGAGAGAGTTGATAAATTTTTTTTAAAAAAAAGCATAAATGACTATATGAAACATAATTTTTTAATTAACTTTTAAAAGAACCCCTCCTCTCATGAATTCTTTTATGAGATAACATGTGAATTTTTTGCGTAAAACGTTTGCCACAGATAGAGCAAGGAAATGGTCTTTCCCCAGTGTGAGTTTGTAAATGGGTCTTTAAATGGCCACTGTGATGCGTAGAGTAATTGCAGAAAGAGCAGCAGTGCATCTTAATACGCAATCCATTCTTCTCAATTGTATACACTATCCCTGAAAGAAATTAGAGGCAAATTAATGTACACATTTTAATTAAGGTCTAGAGACACTAAACAACTTTTTAAATAAATTATGTACTGTTATATTGATGGTTTTAGGGATATTAATTTAAATACAATAAGTTCTTTAATCCATCAAATACTTTCGAAAATAATTAGCAACTAGAAACATTACTTGATTAAAAACTTCATTCGCTATAAAAATATATAATTCGAAATTACAGTCGATAGGTTTCAAGTGCTCAAAATCAGGCGCCCATTTCCACAACTCGACAGACGTGAATGAGAAAAATAAAAAATTCCTTGAAATATAAAAGGTCAAGTTGCCTGCAAGAAATGAAAAAATAAAGGTAGGAAACAAAACTAGAAAAGCCACTGTTGCCATGAGAGAGAGAGAGAGAGAAAAAACAGAGCAAGAAAAAAACCACAGGGGTGAAAAGAGGCAAATCAGAGTAAAATGCAAAATGGAGAGGTGGCTACTAATGTCGTTGAAACATGTCTACTGTTTCAAAAAAGAAAAACAGAGCAAGAAAAAACCACAGTGGTCAAAAGAGGCAAATCAGAGTAAAATGCAAAATGGAGAGGTGGCTACTAATGTTGTTGAAACATGTCTACTGTTATTTCCAGTTTGTGTATTTTAGAAGTAAATGAAATTTTCAATCAATTCATATTTTACAGCTTCAGCTCTTTGGGATTAATTATTTAATATCAGAAATATGTTATAAAAGTATTTTCGTACTTCATGATAAACCACTAAATGATTCCACTACCAAAGAACAAGTAGCACAATATTATACTGTAGAACAAATTGCCCCATACTAGTACAATGCTAGTATATTGCAGTGTAAATAAGTATAAAAAGTATCTGTCCAGTAAAATCAATCGAAAGAGGTACTTTTAATTGTTTATAAGCAAAATTTGCATTACGGCACCTTCAAGTGAGTTATTTCATGTGCCTTCCGACCAGCACTTTGAGAGAAGCGCTTTCCACACATCCTGCAAGCATATGGTTTTTCACCCGTGTGAGTTCTTTGATGATTCTCTAATGTTCTATGATATGGAGTAGAGTAACTGCAATAAGAGCAACAATGAATCTTCTTGCATCTTCCACCTGGCATAACAAAGAAGAATGACTCTGAAAGAAAATGGATATTAAAGTGATAGTATTAATAATGAAAATTTAATAATTGACAAGTCAATGGAAGTCTAAAATGCATCAAATTATGCAAATTTTGACCAGAGTTAAAAATGTGGAGTAATAAAGAGTATCTGTTAAATTTCATTGCCGCAAATCTATGCCACATCATTAAATTTCAGCTGGTGCGATGGATTGCATTTATACAAGTAAAAGAAAAAAGTTTGAGACCACCATACAGTTTTTTTGTAAAAAATATGATTGTTGCAATAATAATAATTTTTTATAAGGATTATAACAGAAATTAGATAAAGCTAAGAGCTCAAAAAAAGTGCAATTATGGGAATTTGAAAAAAATGAAGATGATAAACCACCAGATGTACTTTGCTGTATTCCATAATCTTAAAATTAGCTTAAATAAAATCTGAAATTATTTATTCAAAGTTTTAACAGCTTAAAAAAAAGCAGAATTGGTTTAACCAAATTATTACTGAATGAAGAAAACACGGAAATTATTGCTCATTAATAGTTTAACTGAAATGGCAATATATTGAGAGAATTTTAAAATCTAGGACAGTAGTGTATAAATTACTGTAAAATCCAAGAGGAAAAACAGTATTACTGGAAGTAGCATTAATTACAGAGTTTTTTTAATAGCACATTTATTTTAAAGAAAAGGATATACAAATATGACGGAATGGAAGATATTATTTAAATTACTAAGTAAATTACAAGCTTGTAAATTTGATGCTTATCCTAAGTTTGATGCTTATGAATGTTTTTTAAGTTCTAGCTTCTCAAAGATATTTACTACACATGAAAAGAAAACCGTTTTACAACACATAAACAAAAATACAATTCCTTAGTAGATTTTAAAACATTTGAATATAGAAAAATATTAATTACTGAAGATCATAAATTTCTAAAATATTTTATTAGAAAGAAACAATAAACTAAAACAGAGACTTTTAATTGGAACCATATGCATCAGTCCAATCGAAATATAAAACTGGTTGAAAAGGAAAGACACGAGAAAAATTAGCAATAAAAGAAAAAAAAGAGGGTAAAACATATAAGAGCAGAAATATCCTTATGAAGAAATTCATATGTGTGGTGTGTGCTTTAAGATTATTTAAATAGTGGTATGGAAATTGCACAGTAGCTTCCAAGCATGTTATTAAAAATGCATAAATATAAATTTATATCATACAATGTGGTAATGTTGTGTGGTACACAAACAATGTGGTAATTTTAAATTTTAGTGTCTTTAAACTTAGAAACAATGTCAGATCAATGAATTTTAATGACAACTTTTAGCCCAACCTAATTTATTTTTCAATTAGTTTGATGTCGGAATGCACTTGATTGACATATAATAACAAATTCATTGTTTCACATAGAAACAATTACTACTTAATTGAGAGTTTATAAACTAAAGTTTGTAAAAATTGCAACATTAAAAAAGAATTGACATAAATTTTTTCCACACATTACTAATCAAGACACAAATAAGCATGGGCAACAGTGATACACGCCCAATTACTTTGAAATTCTAATAATTTATGTGTCTCAACTCAATTTAGATTTTATGTAAGTTTGCTTCAATTTGCATAATTTCTTTATAGTGTTGCAATTTTCACAAACAATAGAATATTTCATGATAATACATAATGGTTAATTATAACAATTATGATAAATTTCATGTAACTATTTTGACTGTGGTTTATGAGTATATTCATGAAACAACAGATGAACTTTTTGCCTGAAGCCTTTGCCACACATCTTGCAAGCATAGGGCTTTTCACCAGTATGAGTCCTTATATGATTCTTTAAGTGGGTACTTTGAAATGTAGAGTAGTTGCAATAAGGACAACAATGAATCTTGCGCTTTGTTCCCCCGAAAACAGTAAACACTGAAAAAAAGAATTATTATTAAAAACTACTTAAATCTTAATTTATTTGTAACAGTATTTATCCCACTAATTTGTTCGCTTAAATGCAATGCATGTTTAAGGTTAAAAGTAAATAATTTAAAAAATTAACATATCTAATTGCAGTAGAGCCCCATTTATCTGTGAGGAGATTGAAAATTATATTACAAGTGATTGATAATAGGTTTTTTTTATAAAAAAAAGTAACTGAACATTTTTATGTATGAACACTCTCCTGATGTATGTATGTACTAATTTTTTCTTCGACATCCATTTTTCAGTGATTCAGACATAGATTTTTGTTGTGTATTCAAAATTATGAATACATCTTAAAATTATTTTTAATGCTTCCACATTGCTTTTTTAATTTTTTTTATTGTACGTGACTTTTATAAGCATTATTTGCCAACTATTTCTATGCAAAATCGTATCTTTACTCTATTTGCTTAAAAAATTATGAAGTGGCAGCAACAACATAATTTTATGAATCATTCGTTTATTTTTAACAAAATAAGTTTACAATGCCCTTTGAAATACTGTTAATACCTTTGAAATATTTTAGAAACAAATACATTTTCAAGTAAAAACTAGAAATAATTAATTTAACATTAAATATCAAAAACACTAATGACAACTTTAATGAAAAATTTTTACACACATAATAAAAACTATGTATGTTAATACTCAAATTTCTAACTTTTAAATATTTAAAAAGAAAATATATTTGATGTTCCACTTTCCAATTTATTTAAACTTTTATTCCGTCCGTTAATTAAATACGGAAATAATAACTACAAAACACAGAAGGTAAATTCAAGTTTGTATTTACAAACTTGTATCACTAATTTTAAATCTGTCAAAAGGTCTTTTGATAGCAAGCCTTTAAAAATATCATGAGATATTTTCAAAAAAAAAAATAAATAAATAAATAAATACCAAAAGAAAACAAAAACAAAGAGATAAATTTTAGAAGATTAATTGATTAAAAAATATTCAATTTTACATGAAAATATACTTCAAATTTAAAATATCATTATTAAAAAAACATGAAAAATAATAATCCTAAATATGGGTTAATCTAACATTTTTATATTATTGTGGTAAAAGATAGGGAAAAATTAAATCACAAGTTTGGTGAATTAATTAAATGAAATCAGTAATACACATATAATTAATCAGTCATATTTAATACAGAAAAATATATTGAAAAGTTTGGGGCAATATAATAATAAGCCACATTTTCACATTTTTCACAACATTCTTTTTTGGAAAAAACATATGATTTCCAAGAAAATAAAGATGTTTCTGTGCATTGAACCATTACTTTGTGGAAAATAATATAAAATTTAAAAATACCTGTCTGGAAATTATACTAAGAACAGTACAATGTGTAAATGTAACTTTTGGAAGAAATATAGTGCACGACTAGATCGTTCAAGAGCTTCAATTAGGAAAGAACAAAAGAAAAATAATTAGAAAGAGTGAAGCCACTAAAAGTAGACCATAAAACTAATTTGTGAAGTTTTTCTAATCGTCATGATTACATTCTTTCAGTAAAGAGATAACTAGCGAAACAGTTTATCTTTTAATTTCAAACTATTTAAAGTTTACATGTCTCCATAAATTTATGAAGCTTATAGTACTCAAGAAAGTAGATAGAAAAAAGTTGTTATACAATGAGTAATTATTCATTATCATTATTTACTATTAAACATTATGTGAATACTCCACTATTATCTATTAGAATTTATTATTCCACTCATGAGTGACTTCATGATAGATTTGAGATTTTTTTTGCGTAAAGCGCTTGCCGCATATTTTGCAAGCATATGGTTTTTCTCCTGTATGAGTTCTCACATGGTTCTTTAAATGGGTACTTTGAAATGTAGAGTAGCTGCAGTATGGGCAATCGTGAACTTTACGTTTTATTCCAAAAGCAGTATTCACTAAAAAGAGAAAAAAATTTGAACACTCCACAAAAACTTCAGAAAACTTTGAATGAAAAGTTATTCATTTCACAAATTTGTGCATTTTGTTCTATGTATACTAATGCTTAAATTATGAAGCCAAAAATAATAATTTAATGAATAATTAATTTTTTTGAAACAAACTAATTACATTATCAATGATAATTATTCTTAACACTTCAGATTTTTTAAAAGTACTTATTACATGCATAAGTTGGGTTTAGATTACATGCATAATTTAGGTAACAATTTATTTTAGTTCAAACTTTTTTTTTAATATACAGGGTGATTCTAAAATCATGAGACCACCTTAGAGGAAAGGTAGAGCATATCATAACGATTAAGAATTGCACAGGAATCCAAGACCAGAAATGTTATTGCACGCCACTAGAATCACTTCAGCATTATGAACTCCTTCTGCATGTGCCTTTGAACATTATGGAATTTTTTATTTATCGAAATTATCTTAATTTTAATATTTTCCAATAATTATTGTTGAAAATTGCATTTAAATTGGTTCAGCATCAACTGTTTTATTGTAGTTTGATGATTTGGGGCCGGACCAAACACGCTCGCTAAATCATTAAATTTCAATAAATCAGCAAAGAAAAAGAATTAGAGATCAAAGAGAAATCTTCAGAGGAAAGCATTGCCCCACTTTGGGTTGTCAGGCCAACTATGATGATGATGACAATAAAACAGCTATTTTCAAACCTATTTGAAAGCAATTTTCGACAGTTTTCTGTTCAACCGCATACATAGAAACAGTTTATAATATGAAAGCAAAAATCCAAATCTCATGATCATTATTTAAATTTTGTCCAATTTAATAAAAAAGTATTACAAAAAAATTCCATCACCATCTGAAAGTACAAGAGGAAAACATATTTTTATTCCCAAAATAAGAGCAGAAACTAGATATAAACATACAAGGCCAGTAAGCACCAATCTCTAATAAAATTGTCAAGTAAAAAGGATAAATAAAAATTTATTAAATGTAAAGAAAATATTTAAAACTGCAATATCTTGTAATAAGTTAACAAGATTTATTTCCGTTTTTCTCCTTGTTGGCACAGTTAAAACATTATAGGAGCACTTTTAAAGCAAAGCCAAGACATTTGCTCAGTAAAACTACATCTTTTAAGTGTCTGAAAAGAATTGTTCTGTAACAGGGTTTGCTGGAGCATTAATAATTAGTTTGTTTTCCAACAACTTATTCTTTTATATTCTTATTCCTTCCTTTAATTCTCCTCTTAAGTTCCTATCTCTCTACGAATAAGAGAATTATTACACAGTTGAGGAAAGTGAATGAAAATTTCAGTGTGATGCCAATTGTCTTTTAAAAATTTTTCTATGGAACATTTTTTAAATGAATCATTTCATGTTGTAATTTGGTAATTTTTTGTGTAAAACATCTGCCACAAATTTTACATATAAATGGTTTCTCTCCAGTATGAGTTCTCACATGGTTTTTTAAGTGGGTACTTTGAAATGTAGAGTAGCTGCAGTAGTGGCAATGGTGACTCTTACGTTTTTTTCCACCAGCAGTAGGCGCTAAAAAGAAAAAAAATATGAATATGTGACTGAACATTCAGAAAACTTTAAATAAAAAGTGATTCTTTTCAGAAAGTTGGGCACTTTGTTTTATGTAATGTCTAAATTATTAAGTCCACAGCAATAATTTCTTGAATATTAATTTATTAGAAACAAACTAAGTGCATTATCAATGATAATTATTCTTAACACTTATTAAGATGTTTAATTAATAATTATAAAACATATGATTTAGGTTTTAACATTATGTCAAATCATTCAAATGTCTTAAAATATGAATTTTCCAGAATTTGTAACATTTAATGATTATCTTAATTAACAAGAGTTGGCATATTTTAAAGAAAAAAAAACATTGATTTAATATTAAAAATCATATTTTTTAATGAATGAATACATTGCAATAGCAAACATTATTTTGTCAGAAAACTGAATTGAATTATTCAATGACAAGCAAGTGATAGAAACAACTTTCTAAAAAACACATAGTTTTGATGATTGTAATAGAAATTTATTAATATAAAAACTTTATTGTTTAAAGAACATAAATTTATTAGGGTTTTTTTCCAGAACAACTCTGTAAACACAAACAGTTAATTCTTATAAGTGAATAATTATGAAAATAAATAAATTTGCATTTAATATTTTAAAAATTATAATCAAGTATTGTATAAAATGATACAAAAGAAAAATTGGAAATCTTACAACATTAACTATTAAAATATATATATATGCAACACATTTTACACCAAGAGCCAGAAACTATCTCACAAATATGAGTGTTTCTTTGTGTGAGTGGTTTCATGAGTTCTCAAATTCCTCTTCTCTGCAAAACTTTTGCCGCAAGAGTCACAAACATATGGTTTTTCTCCAGTGTGAGTTCTAACATGATTCTTAAGGTGGGTAGTATTAAATGTAGTGTAGCAGCAGTAAGAGCAACAATGAATCTTGTACTTCCGTTCACGAGCAACGAAGAATACATCTGAAGAACATATACATCAACAAGATTAAAAACTTATTAAATAATATTTAAAAAAAACTTTGCTAAATAACATAAATTAATTCAGCAATGAAATTTGGGCATAACTCAATTTATGGAGTCATAATATATACTAGAATGACATAAGTGATGATTAATTACTCGTAAGTATTAGTAAATATTATTTATGAAGCATTAATAATCATAGGAATAGGTACTACTGGTATAGGTACAGAATCGTGATATGTTGTTTACGCCCCATAAATAAAAATTTTTAATTGCATCAAATTTCAAAAATTCTAATTCGAAAACTTTTACAACTATGAATACAAAATGCATCAAAAACACTCATTTCATAAATAGTTAATTTATACTAAACAAAGATGGTTCACAAGTGTAGCGTTTAAAACATCTTTATTTTCCTTTTAAAGCTAGTAATATTTTTAAGCTAAATGAGTAAGTTTACAAATGTTAATTTTTTTTTTTAATATCTAATATTGCAGCTTTAATTTGTGTTTAAGCAAATATAGATTCATATGTCCAATAATAAGAATTTGTGCAATTATTTTCACATTACAAATTTTTAATTCATATTCATCAAATGTTTTACTTACATCTTTAAGAAAGGCATAGATAAATTTATTTATAATATTATGAAACTAGTTTCAAGATTTTTAAGGAAATTTATGTTTTTGTTGAACTATCAGAAAACTAGTATTTTAAGACAGAAATAATATGAGATAAAAAAAAAGTCTTATGAATGTAAACTATACAAAAAGCAATGCAACAAATCTAATATTATCATTTTAATAGAAATGCATTTTGTAAATTCTCAAAATTAATATGACTCTGGCTTTAGTCTTCAGTTGAATGTGTAATATGGATTATAAAGTGAACATTCAAACTTTAAATAAACATTTCAACAACATTTATACAGTTACACTACAAAAATAAAATATTTTAGATGTTTTAAACATAAAAAAAAACCTTGAAGCTTTTTCATTAAAATTTGTATAAGAATATTATCAGATTTATTTGTCTCCATAATTATTTTTTAACTAGAAAATACACAAAAGTAGCATATACTGCATAAAATATTTTAAGCACAGATAAAAAAAAACTAATGAAGTAAATCTCATTTTTCACCACACATTTTTATAATAGATAGATAACTAAGAATTTGTTGACAATACAAAGATGTAGCAATGAAAATATCGTATAATGAACTCAGGGAATTAAGATTACAAAAAGATAAAATCTCTATAATTGCAATTCGGACTTTCTAATGAAAGCCTGAGTTTTAAGACTTGGTAAATTAAGCAAATTTAAGATGCAGAGATTTTATTTTTAATACAGATGAACTTCTTGATCGATCGTTTCTTAAGCTTCTTACAAACAATTGATATGGGAAAATAATAAATGCAAGTTAATTTCAAATAACAAATTATGACTTGGAAATGTATGAAAAATAAAAAGAACTAATGAACTTAAAAGTTAATATATTTACAAAAATTTTAATTGGAAAAAAATTATGAGCCTAAAGCAAAAATATTTATGAGCTAAAAGAAAATGAATAAACAAATTTATTTGCTTTAAATATTTGGGAATTTTGATTTGAACATACACAAACAATTAATTTTCGCGATTTGTAACAGATTGCAATCCACATTTTGTAAGTTCATATAAATACAGAAAGTTCCTCATTGGTTCAAAGGATTGAAGGTCTTCTGCAAATGTTGTCACTGGTTGTGGTTAAGTAAGTTGTTTTCCTTGGCATGGCTTTGCACTTCTTTACTCAGTTCATGAACCGACATCAATTGATGTATAAACATCGAAACCTGATGTTTGAAGCTGTTTCTTCCAAAGAGTAACAAATCCTCATTTTCTTCCTCTACATTGACATCGGGAGTAACTGTCGAGAATATTTTTTGTCAAATGTCAGTGAATTCCCAAACGATTTTCAGGCGGGAATCAGCTATTTAAAAAAACGATCTAAACGGATATTATAAACATTGAAGAAAATAGTATTTCGTCATTAAAATAATGCGATATATCCAAGAAAAAAGAAGCACGAACAGTGGTTTGAACTTTAACTGTATATAAGTCAGGTAGAAAAAAGTCAAGTCTCAATATAATTTTTGGATGACTAAATGAGAAAACAATTATTATAAAATTCCATCACCAGCTGAAAAACCGAGGGGAAAATATTTTTATTTCCAAAATGAGAGCAGAAAATATATTTGAAGACTTAAAAGTCAGGTTGCACCAATCTCAAATAAAATTGCCAAGTTATACTTCAAACCATTAATGAGAAACAAATGCTGTAAACTGCACTATGAACTTTTAGTAATAGTTAAAAATGTTTATTGCAGTTCTTATTCTGTTTGTCCAGTTAAAATTATTATAGGGGCATTTTTAAAACAAATACGAGATATTTCCTTCGTTTAAGTTCGATAAAAAATTAGAGTGAAACCTCCAGGAAAGACCACCTCTAATTACGACCACTTTCGAGAGACACGGAACTCTTTCCACAGACTTGTATGAAGTATTCAATTCACAGAAAATTTATTCAAAATATTTGAGTGATGCTCTTATTTAAAGAGTTCTTTATGAGGATACAACCTCATGTTGCAGTCAAAGTGCACTAAACACGATGTTATCAATGATTTACTTTTAGAGTAGGAAGTTAAATTAGAAAAAAAAAGTCATTTTAGAAAAAAACAAGCATCTCAAACAAACAAACCTTTTCTTTAAAGCTAACTAATTTTTTTGATATAAAATTAAATACAAACTTAAACGAAAAACATAATTGTTTATTTGAAAAAGCTCTATCGTTAATAATTGGCAAATTTGATTTCACACGTAATTTTATCAGTTGGGATCATTTTTATAGAGCTAAATTTTATTCACTGATACCTCTTTTCATGATGCCAACAAAATAGGCGATTCCGCACCAAAAAATGACACTGACTAAAATTAAAATCATTTGCGAAAAATCACGTGTTTTTGATAACAATTTTGAAGTCAATGGACATTACCTCTAAGAGCGAGAAACCTTAATCAACAACCATCTAACTGTGGAACAGAGAGGTTTCTTCCCGAGAGGTTTCACTGTACTATAAAATGGTTTGCAGTAGATTTGATACTCTGATCTTTAACACCATATTTCTCTTTTAAGTTCACCTTCTTTGATTCTCGAAGTTCTCATTTCCTTGCTAAAAAGAGAAACTGTTTTAACTATATTTCTGACGACTTCCACAAATTTAAAGCGTATACGACATTGAAGTCTAATAAAACTTTGTTGCATAGAAACACAATTATTACACAACAGAGGAAAAAGAATAAAATTTTTAGTGGACTGCCAGTTGGCTAAAATTTCTTTTTTAGTTTTCCTTGTAACTTTTGAAATTTTTTTCTATACTTTCTTTGATACTCTGATCTTAGGAACTTTTTTAATTTTTTTCTACACTTTCCTTGATACTCTGATCTTCGGAACTTTTTTAATTTTTTCTATACTTTCCTTGATACACTGATCTTCGGAACTTTTTAAATTTTTTTCGATTCTTCCTTTGATACTCTGATCTTCGGAACTTTATTCAAATGAATCACTTCATGTTGCATCTTGCCAATTTTTTGTGAAAAACGTCTGCCACAAATTTCGCATGAATATGGTTTCTCTCCAGTATGAGTTCGTAGATGAGTGGTTAAATGTCCACCATGATAGGTCATATAATTGCAGAAGGGGCATTGACGAAATTTTCTACCATTCTTTGTGCCAAGAAACACATTCTTTTCTGTAAGAAAGTAAAATATCAATTTTAATAAAACTTATCTCAATAAAAGCAATGATTATAATCAGATAACATCAACATATTTAAAAAAAAAAACAATTTAAATAATGAATTTTAGATATTCTCAATTTATAATCTGTACAAGTTTTAAAGAGAAATAAGTGCTTTTCATAATAAAAAGTATATGAATTAGAGTTTAATAAAAAAAAAATCAATGTATCTGTGGATACTGCTGTATTTTTATAAATTATATAAAGATTTTCATTGATGTATAAAACAGCAACAAAAACTAGTTTTCTAAAATAATAAATAAATATAAAATTCTGATGTCTGTATTTGAGAGCATTGATTTGAATTATACCCAACTGACAAATTTTTGCTGGGGAAAAATTGCAATTTTATTGGCAATTGAAATACTAGCATTTAATACATAATTAGCTTTTTAGTAAAAAGTTGAGATTCCCGAATAAGTGCACTCTGCAAGTAAATCATAGTTTTACTAGATTTGTCCAGAAAAAGTATGTCTGATGAAAACAACTTATTTAGCTCTCAGTGGCCATCGGGGTGGCTCTATCTTTAATTGCAAACTTGTCTTGACACTATTTTTTTAAACATACATAAGGTGTTTTTCTTAATTCTAAGTTGTTTCAAGACCTTCTTTTAAGCAACAATATTGCCAATTAAATCTTTCTAAAACAAATTTTAAACACTTACAATTAATTTATAACTAAAATAATGAAAACATCACTAAAAATACTGAATTTCGGCATCTTGGAAGCAGATATGTCATCACTTCACTATACAGGGCAGGAATGTTGTCCTACTGACAACAATATACCTCATTAAAGCGAGAAGCCTTATTGAGGTTAAAATATTTATAAATGAAATGCAATTAGAGATATATCAAACATTAGAAGTGAAATACTTAAGTGTACGTAGACCAAGGAAAAGAAAGCCAGTTATAATAGCAGAAGTCATGAAAATTAATGCTACCAACATAAACTAAATATCTTTTAAACACAAAAAAGAACATTTCTTTTAAATGTTTATAATTGTTGAGCTATTTTCTCAAATTCAGTATAAGTTTAGCTAATTTATGTCTTTTATATTATTAAAACAAATTAATGAAATAATAACCAGCATTTAAGAGTCAAATATATTACTAGAAGCGTAAAAAAAAATCCCATTTGAGACAGATATACAAGAATAAGAAAGAAAAAAAAACATTAAACAGTTTAATAAAACTTTAACAAAAACTACTTAAAACCTTTAAAGATATACATTTAAAACAATATGCTGCACTTACAAGATGTCCCAAAAGTTTAGATTCAAGCGAACAATGTATTTTATTACTAAAATTAATAAGTAAAGTAAGTAAAGTCATGAAACGTAAGAATAACTACCAATAATTATGCATGCAATTATGGTTGACTGTAAGTCTAAATAAAGCAATGATAATTTTTAAAATTAAGAAAAAAATAATTATGCATTAAATAGAAAAGAATTGGTTTAAAATAAACTTACATTGTGATTTTTTCAAAAAAATTCATTTTCTATTTTGAAAAATATTCAACGTAACAAGGCTTTCAGAAGAAACTGTTCGAAATAGGAAATGAAATTAACATTAGGTGGTCATTTAATGTCACAGGAAAAAAAAATTTTTTTCACATAATAAATTTTTTCGTGATATAGAAGTTCGAGATATTGAGAGTATACTGCATTTCAACCACGTTTTGATACGTCATTACCTAATCATGTCTATTTACAGAAGACTTGGAAGAAATACATTTCAAATTTAACATAATCCTTCTTTGATAAACCAAAAAAAAAAAAAAAATCAAAAAAAAAAATAGAAAAGCGAGGAACAGNAAAAAAAAAAAAAAAAAAAAAAAAAAAAAAAAAAAAAAAAAATAGAAAAGCGAGGAACAGAACATATTAATTATAAACATGAACCCAAAACCAGATCTTTTATACCTTAGTGAGATACAGCTTTAAAAAAATTTAAATACAGTTATAGAGATACTACACATTAGCAAAAGGTGGAGATATTTGAGCAAATATAATTATTATTAAATTTTGTATTCATTTTTTTAAGATTTTATTATCTAAGATTTTTTTCTGTCCTATTTACATATTAAAAACTTTATTTTTCACATACTTCTTATGAGTAAAATCATAAATTTGTGAAATTTGATTATTCATAAAAAAAAGGTCTGAATAAGAAAACTGAAAGAATGTTATGATTTTTTTTACATAAAGCAATGTTTAGAGTCTCCAAAAATGCAGCTTTATTACTGTACAAGTACAATAAACATTCATGTTAGAAGTCTGTAATGTCACATGCATGCAACCAAATGAAAATAAAGCTATACTTAGAATTATTTCAGATTATTATGTTTTATTATAATCAATTTTCAGTATAATTCTTAAAACCTTTGAAATATACTTACTTAATTACTCATAATATATATAAACAGAATCTAAACTTTTGTAGTGAAAGAAAAACAACATAATGATGAAAAAAAATTTTAAGCTTTTACACATAAGAAACAATATTATTCTAGTGGATTGTAATATGAATGTTTTTTTGCATGAGTCATTTCATGTGATAGCATAGTACTCTTTTGAGTAAAACGCTTGCCACACAACGAGCAGGCAAATGGTTTTTCTCCAGTGTGAGTTCGCAAATGAGTCTTTAAATGGCCACTGTGGTCTGTAGAGTAATTGCAATAAGGGCACTGATGACTCCTTTTGTAATGCTTTTCACTTCTACCAACCACATAAACTAATTCTGTAAGAAAGAGGGCACAATCATCCACAAAGTTAATTAAAAATAATTTAAAGTTAAACTAGACAGGAATTTTAAGACATAATAATCATACAGAAAAACATGATCTTTCACAAAAACAATACATAGTTTATTTTAAATAAAATGTTAAAAATAAACTAATTTACAATAGCAGAAAATAATACTGCTTCACAAAAAGTTATCAAAAAAATCACAGGACACTCTTATATATCATCAGTGTGCTGGAAAAAAAATATAAAAACCAAATTATCAAAGGAAAATGAGCTATAAGCAAATCATACATCATAAGCAAATTATCAAAGGGAAATTTGAGCTAAAAGTTATGCTATAACTAATTGTTTGTCATTAAGTTAAAGTTATACTATAACTAAATGCTTGTAATTAAGTTTAGAAAGTATAGCTTAATCCGAATAAATGCAATCAAAGGAAAATTTGAATCAGAAGCTGCAATATAACTAAATGTTTGCGAAAGTACAGCTAACCAGAACAAGTGTTACCTATGACATACATAGCATCATAATTCAAATTCAGTAACAGAGTAAGTCACACACAGGGAGAAAACATTGGAATCTTTTTAATAATCGCAGAATATATTTAAAGATGGTTTCGCAGCAAATGATTTTACCAATTACGACAAGAATGATCACAAGATTGGTACAAGAGTCGAATATGCAATACTGAGCAAAACTTTTATGACATTGCATGGTGCCAAAATTATTACAAAGTCTAACAATAATGAAAATAAAAAGAAGAAATAATCACTGGGGTACCTCGGGGTCGTGGCACCCGTGTTTGCCAAACCAAGGCAAACCCCCTGAGGAACAAAGTAGGAAGGTTGGAACAGAAAAGGTCACTTGTGTCCCGAGTTGTGGACTTCGTTACTTATCAAAAAGTAAAGCTCCTTAAAGATCAATCTTGAGACAGCAAATTATGATGTTGCTTTCAAACAAAAACATTTTATTTCTTTATTTCAAAATGCAAAAAAAAGACAAAACAAAAATAATTTAAGCTAAACAATTATAAATATTTAAAAAAATCTAATTTAATGAGTCCAACCCTCAATGCATTGAGCCCATGGAAAAAATTGCACTACAATATCTTTGCTTCGCCCTACTTTTTAGTAAATTACATGGGGAAAAGCGATTTTTTAATGCAAAAACAGAACGTTCAGAAGGTTAAGTTGTCCAAGTTGAGCAGTGAAGAGGGATTTAACTGAGAGGTAGTAAAAAGTAATCTACTAATGAGTTTTTTCACGTCATTGCAGAGATTTATTTTGCATGAAAAATAAGCTACAAATCTTTTCATGGCATTGCCGGGATATTTTTTGTATAAATCCTTTGCCACATATCTTGCAGGCAAATGGTTTTTCGCCAGTGTGAGTTCTGACATGATTCTTTAAATTGCTCTGATGAGGTGTACAATAGTTGCAATAAGAGCAATGAAAAATCTTAAGTCTTCTTCCACTAACAATACAGTTCACATCTGAAACAAAAGGAATGCTAAAATTAAAATATTACAATGATAAAGCTTTAAGAAAACTCTACATAATACAATAGAAACATAGGAGGCAATTTAGTAATAAACCATACTACTTCCTAAGGTTTTATATTCAACTATTCCTAATCATTGTTTTTAGAAAAGTTGTTTAAGTTTTCAGAAATTCTACAAGATAACAGTAGAATTGATAAAAAAAAAAACATTTTATTATTAAAATGGAAATCATTGTGTTCTGGATCTGAAATGTTTTCATGGATTATCATTATATTCCTCCGAACCCATAGAAATGTAGTCAAATAGTTAACTACAAATAAAAATTCCATCAACAAATTTAACTTCATGAAAAAATATTTTATTTCAAACAGAATAAGCTTACAAAATTTTGAATCAAGACACTTTTTAAATATTTAAGAAGTGTCTTCTTTCGCTATAAATAGGATGAAGATAAAAACTGCATTTATAAATGAGTAACTTTATAAGAAACATTTCGACATGTTTTACAAACATTTTACAGTTCTGGTTTATGGATGAAGAAACATATATTCAAATGGTTAACATTAAAACATGAATAAGATTAACAAGAGCCATAACCACATCATTCCTACGTGTTTCCAACTTAAATTATTTTGTGAGCTTTTTTAAATAATATAAATAACAAGCCAGTGGCACATTTAGATTAGCATCTAGAATCAAGTTTTCAGGCCAATGACTGCAATAAGAGCATATATTAATTAAGTTAAGTAGTTGTTTAATAGAAAGTATTCTTT